CGTATTTATCCTTTGTCTGAAAAGGAGTTAATCGCCCTTAAAGACTTTATTGACAAACAGCTGGCTACTGGTGCCATCACCCCATCATCCTCTCCTCACGGCGCTCCGGTCCTTTTTGTCCCGAAGAAAGACGGCAAACTTCGCCTTTGCGTCGATTTCCGTGGACTCAATCGTATCACCAAAAAGGATCGTTACCCACTCCCACTCATATCAGATCTTCTCGACGCTCCGAAAAGAGCTAAAATATACACCAAATTGGATCTCGCTCACGCTTATCATCTAGTCAGAATCGCTGAAGGTGACGAATGGAAAACCACCTTTCGGACCCGCTACGGCTCTTACGAATGGAAGGTCATGCCGTTCGGCCTTACGAACGCCCCTGCGGCTTTCCAGCGGTTTGTTAATGACATCTTCTCTGACATGCTCGATGTCTGTGTTATTGTCTATCTTGACGATATTCTAATCTACTCTGATACGCCAGAAGAACACCGAGAACACGTCAAGGAGGTTCTTCGGCGGTTACGGAAACATCGGCTTTACGCCAACTCCGACAAGTGCGAATTCAATATGGATACTGTGGAGTATTTGGGTTATATTCTTTCTCCCGACGGATTGACTATGTCCAAGGAGAAAGTTCAGACCGTTCTAGAGTGGCCGGTTCCGAGGAAGGTTAAGGACATCCAGTCCTTCCTGGGTTTTGCAAACTTCTATCGTCGTTTTATTTATAATTATAGTGATATCGTTGTGCCGATGACTCGGCTTACCCGAAAAGGCGCGTCCTGGATCTGGGACAGCAGCTGTCAAGAGGCCTTCGAAAATCTCAAGACTGCTTTTACTTCTGCGCCGATACTGGCCCATTGGGAGCCGAATCGCCCACTTATTGTGGAAACTGACGCTTCCGATTACGCCATTGCGGCTATTCTTTCCATCCAATATGCTGACGGTGAAATTCATCCTCTAGCCTTCCTTTCCAGAACGCTTCATGCGGCGGAACTCAACTATGATACACACGACAAAGAGCTACTGGCCATCTTCGAGGCCTTTAAAGCTTGGCGTCATTATCTGGAAGGCTCGGGTGATCCGGTGGACGTCGTCACCGATCACAAAAATCTTGAGTATTTCTCTACTACCAAGATTCTCACACGCCGTCAGGTCCGATGGTCAGAATTTTTACATCAATTTAATATGGTCATTCGCTTCCGACCGGGGAAACTCGGCGAGAAACCTGATTCCATAACTAGACGCTGGGACGTCTACCCTAAAGAGGGGGATATCGGCTACGCCCAAGTGAACCCTCACAACTTTCGTCCTATCTTTACTAACGAACAACTCACTGCGTCTCTTCGAGCTACCTTCCTGGAAGGCCCCGTTTTACGAGCCTCGATTATCATGGATATCGAAGCCCTACACCAAGCAATCATCCTCGCCCTTTCCGCCGATCCGAGCTCCATTGCTGGTCTGGAACTTGCTAAAGATCCTTCCAATGAACGTTGGAGCTTAGGTAGCGACAAGCTACTACGCCTTGATGACCGTATTTATGTTCCTAATCACGGCGATCTTCGCCTTCAAGTTCTCCGCTACTTCCATGATCATCCACTCTCCGGTCATTTCGGCCAGAACCGCACTCTAGAAGCTGTACGTCGTCAGTACACCTGGCCCAAGGTCAGAGACTTCGTACGTGACTACGTTACCTCTTGCACTATCTGTGGGCGCAACAAACCTCGCCGTCATCGGCCTTACGGGTTGTTGAAGCCTTTGCCGGTTCCGGTCCGACCATGGGATTCCATCTCCATGGACTTCATTGAGCAACTGCCAATGTCGAATGGCTTTACCGCTATTCTCGTCGTTGTGGATCGATCTTCCAAGCAAGCTATCTTTATTCCAACTCACGACACCATTACTTCTGAACAACTAGCTGAGCTTTTTGTTATTCACGTCTTCTCTAAACATGGTGTCCCTAATCATGTCACTTCTGATCGTGGTTCTGAATTTGTTTCGGCGTTTTTCCGGGCTCTCGGTAAAGCGCTCTCCATGGAACTTCACTATACCTCTGGATACCATCCGGAAGCCGATGGGCAAACTGAGCGTGTCAACCAGACTCTCGAGCAGTACATCAGGATCTATTGCTCCTACCAACAGGATGACTGGTCTCCTCTACTCCCGATCGCCGAGTTCGCCTATAACAACGCTCCCAATGCTTCCACTGGTATTACTCCATTCTTCGCTAACAAAGGATACCACCCAAACATCACCGTTCGGCCCGAGGTCGATATGAAGTCTGACCTAGCTAGAGACTTCGTCGTCAACCTTGATGAACTCCACGTCTTCCTTCGAGAGGAAATCCTTTTAGCTCAGTCTCGTTACAAGGAACAAGCTGACAGGAAGAGAATCTCGCACCCGGAGTTCCCGATCGGCTCCGAAGTATTCGTTCTTGCTAAGCACATTCGTTCTACTCGTCCTACTGAAAAATTCTCAGAAAAATATCTTGGTCCTTTCAAGGTCATCAGTCGACCTGGTACTCTGTCTTACGAGCTCAAGCTCCCGGATTATCTTCGCCGCATTCACCCGGTCTTCCACGTCTCACAGCTGGAGCCGGTTACGCCGAATCCTTTCCCGAATCGTACTCAATCTCCTCCACCTCCAATTGAAGTTGATGGTGAAGAGGAGTACAACGTTGCCGAGATCCTGGACTCTAAACTGGACAGAAGGTATAAGCGTTGTCCTCTACGTTACTATATTCGGTGGGCCGGTTACGAAGGTACCGACGATGAATTCTCCTGGGTTGCTGCTGATGAATTACATGCGGATGAACTGGTACCCGCATTCCACGCTCGATACCCTTTGAAACCTGGACCCTGATCACACAAAAAAACATTTTATTTCCTTTCCCCCGTTTCCGCCGTGCTCCGCCGAAGTTTACTTTGTGCGTTTAGAGGATAAACATGATGATAGTAAATTGAGTGTTTATCTCTTTCTCTTAATTGCTTACTTTCCCTTCAATGTATTTTTCACTTATATTTCATTTACATTTACAACTACTTACACTTCGAACTAATTAATTCTTCCGCCGCTTCGCGGCCCATTCGCTTTCTGATTTCAAAATCGAGTTAACATATTTTTTTTATATACACAAGTCCAAAAACAAAACTATACAAAGCGGGCAGGGTTACAAGAAGATTACAAGAAGAAGGCCGGAAGGCCGATGTCCGATGTCCGAAACTACCCTACTCTGCCCTCTCCCTCTCCTTCTCCTTCCCTTTGTCCGACCGGGCCTTCTTCGGCGCCGGTTCGTCGTTCTCCTCTTCTTCTCCCTCCAACTCCACTTCTTCCCCCTCCTTCTCCATCTCCCCTTCAATCTCCTTTTCTTCCTCCTCATCACTGTCTACTACCCTCCTTCTCTTCTTCGAAGGTGCCGATGGCCCGGCCTCCGGCAATTCAGGGGGCGTCTTCCTTCTCCTGTTGGCATCCGTCACTAACCACTCCAACTTCCGGACCATGTGGCGATGGTATGTATTCGCCTTGATCTGACCGTCTCGGAGTTGACGGTTGTCGGCGAGCAACTGAGCCATCTGGCTCTCAAGGACGGCTATCCGCTCGCCAAGCGGATTTCCTCCCCCCTCTCGCTTCACCGTCGAGGGCCGCCCGGAATACGAGCATCGTACCTTTGCGTCGTGGCAGGGTTTGCAAATGATAGAGCTCCTCTTACCAGCCTGCATCTGGCAAGAGATCTTTTTGCTCCTGCATCGTTCGCAGGGAGCTCTATCGTCTTCGTCATCGTCATCGTCGTCCCCGTCGCCGCCGTCATACGGGATTAACGTCTAAGGGTTCGTTACTCACCTGGGCCTTGTTTTTGCCTTTGCCTTTGTCCTTTCGAATTTCTACCACCGGCCGTTGTGGGGAAACCGAACTTTCTCCGGGCGAAGACCCACGTCGACTACGGGCGGTAGCCGCCTCCGCCATCTTCCGCCGGCGTTCCTCCAACTCTCGCGCTGCTGCTTCCTTCCTCCTCTGAGCTTCCTCTGCGGCTTTCCTGACCGCCTCCTCCTCGGCCTTCTTCTTAGCCGCCGCCGCCGCTTTCCGTGCCTTCATCCGGCGGACCTTCTCCTCCGCCCGCCGGATAGCTTCGTCGTCGTCTTCTTCCACGTCATCGTCGTCGTCTTCTCCAGGCTCGTTGGGAACGGTGAGGCCAATGGGTGGAGGAGGAGCCGGTCGCGACCTCGAAGGTCCGGCGGTAGAAGATTTGTTGCTTGTAGTGGTAATGGTGCGGCTGGTCGACATGCTGGTGGACTTAGGATTTTTGGAAAAGTTAGGGCCTTAGCGGCAAAACCCTGGGCCTTTTATAGGACAAAAAACTGCGCACGGACCAGCGAAAATTTTCCTTCGAGTTGTACGGGGTGTACGGTGAACCGAAAATTTTCACTGATGACTAACGCCAATTCCCGGTACTAACGGCTTTTGAAAATTTTCCTGCTGACTGAAGGGCCAAATCCCCGATCCTGACGGCCTTTAAAATTTTTTCCTTGGTGACTAACCAACTACCGGTATTAATGGCTTTCGAGGGCTCAAGCCTAAGAGGGGGATACTGTCAAGTCCATGCCGCGGGCCTCCATTCCGCCGTTCGGGATTCCGAAGATCTGCTCCTTATTGTTATCTCACTCTTATTGTTCTTTCTCGCTACACATACCCTTTCGTTCTAGTCCCTTCTTATTGTCTTTTACTCTACCCTGCAGGTACTACTCGTATAGCTCCTAGTAGTTAGTCTGGCGCTCCGCACCGCTGCGCCGATCCGTAGATATAAATACTGCCTGTACGCTACCGTAGTTCCTCAGTTTAATTATCAACTTAGATCTCCCTTTCCAACTTAACTCTCCTCTAAGTCTTCAGGTTCAACGCCTCGAAGTACGTTCTCCTCGACCTTAGGACTTTAACGTTCTCTGGTCCGCTCCTCGTCATCGGCGATACCGCCGCTCCGACCTGGCTGCTACTTAGCTCCTCTCTCTCTACTCTCGCTCTCCGGGGACTAACGGCGTAACGGCGGTGTTGTTAATAACTTCACTACTGTCCCATTCGTCTTCCGCACTTAGACACCCTGTGGCCTTGGCACGGTTACACGGTGTACATGATCTTAACAGAGCCCTTGCTTCGGGATGCGCACTCCTGTGACCACGAGGTTTGTGAGCATCATCATGTCGTATATCATGGTGTCCAGGATCTTCTGATCTGTGATGATATGTTCCGTGCCGGTCTGTGCTGGTAGAGGCTTGTGGGGGAGGGTGGGAGGAATAAGGTGTAGCCTGTGGTGGAAAGGTTTGGAAATCAGACCGTATTCAAGCCATGAGCCAGAAATTCAATGAACAATGAAATACACAGAACTCACCATTTGTGTTTGGTTGCGATAATATTCTTGTCCTGAATTATACATAGCAGGATACCGAGGACTGCTAGGTTCACCAGAATAATGTCCTGTAGATGGATCCAGTTGATACATCTCAGAAGAGCCCGAAGCCCTTGAGCTAACAAAGTAACAGCAAATCAATATAAATACCAGAAGAGTTCTATGAGAAGCTAATTTACCCTATGCTGAAGTGTGTTCCATCATCCTCTAAAGAAGCTGTATTGACTGACCCTGACCTAGGATAGTTTCCCAGCCCAGAGCTCCCTGTTATAGCAGTTTGTTGGGATAGTGACAAGTTGGAACCCATCCGAGTACTTGGTGGAAGCCCTTCGGTGGAAGTGTTTCTAGAGTTTGAGTTCATGTTCCGAGTACTTGGTGGAAGCCCTTCAGTGGAAGTGTTTCTAGAGTTTGAGTTCATGACAAAGGCTGTTTGTTGAGGGCCTGAAGGTATATGTAACCTTGAAGAGTGTCGAACATCTATCAAGTAGCATATTTAGTAGACTTGAGATTAGAAAATCAGAGTCACACTCAGTACCCGGAAAACTTCCTTCAACAGAAGTACTTCTAGAGTTTGGGTTGGCAATAAATAGCCCCTGTTGAGGGCCGGGTGGTATATGTGATCCAACAGACTGCCGGACATCTGCACATATTTAATCAGCTTGAGAGTAACAAATTACAGTCCAGTTGAGTACCTGGCAAACTTCCTGCAGTGGAAGTGTCTCTAGAGTTTGGGTTGGCAACAAATAGCCTCTGTTGAGGGCTTGGGGGTATATACGATCCAAAAGAGTGCCGAGCATCTATCATCAAGTTGCATCTTCAATCAGGAATATTCATAGTTCGTGTATGGTATGTACCAGTGTCAGCTGGATTGGCCATGTTCTGATGCCGATGTGGATGATGATCACCATGGGAAGAGCTTGGGGAATGAAAACTTGTAATCAGCATTGGTAATATCACAACAGAGATTAGTGATACTTATACTTACAGGGTTGATTCGAACTCCCTTCTCATGAAATTTTCACGCTCAGCTTCCACCTTCCTAGCCTCTTCCTCCCGCTTGATTCGCTCTGAAGTGGTCTAACAAAAACAAAAACAAGAGTAAGCTATCTTCAATTCTGACATATCCCCCCTTACCCAAACAGCATGACCAAATATACCAGCATCCTCAGTTGCTTTTCTTAGTCTAGATCTTGTCTTGAGGTTGAGGTTATCTTGTATCCTCTCCTTTGGTCCCACTACAGAAATTAAGTGTTGGTTGGCAGCAAGGCTGACAGAAAGGAAAACTTTAGAATCAAGCATAGTAAATGAGTGAGCGGATTGACCTGCTGTTGTACAACTGATTAAGTTCCACTTGTTCTCGTGGTTTCAGAGATCCAAGTGCTGCTTTTTCATTTACAATGTTTTTGGCATCCCCAATGTATACCAAGTTTCGGCGAAGTTGTTTCCGCATAGATATTTGAAACATCGGTGTCACAGGCGGCTTTTTGAATTCATCATGGTTGGTTGTTATTTCTACAGCGACCAAGTCTTTTGACATGGGGAAAGAAAAATGTGTTTACAACATACTGAGAATAGATTTTCGACCCCTTTATATGGGGTGGCCTAAGCATGTGTCAATAAAGTTTGTGGGTGAACTAAATCAAACCCTTCGAACCATATGTCAAGGATCCACTGTCAATGCATGCATTAAACACGTTGTCTTCGGATACAAGGGCTTTTGTGGGTCATTCATGTGCGATCGCTATATTACTGCCGCTATCAATGCTCTTCTTTGTTACCTTGTCCTCCTTTAATTTAGAAGTTTTTGCATTCCGGGTGATATTACTGCACAAGTCTTAGAATCACTGTCGAAGATGAAAGCAGAGTATGGTCACTCTTCAGACCAATGAAATCAACCAGACGGACGTGCACCATGAATGTCGACACAATTCCATTTATAGAGCTATCTTCGTTCTACCACAATGTAACCACACGGCTCATAGATCTTATTTTTTGACTGTCCATTCTGTAGACATCGAGTTGATGTCATAATATAACATGCAAAAAGATCGCTACGCAAACAGGAGTCAGAATATAAGATGACCAATGCAATAAGACGTTTATTACTCACAGCATTCAGGTATCATCATCCAAATCATGTATATATAAAAACATGGGACGCTCCTGACCTTCTGGGTACTCTGTGGGTGACCCCGAATACATCCAGGTTAGTTCAGGTGACAGATGCCTTTCAGGGTGTGGCAAGACAGGTAACGAACGTCTCATAACAAAGTACTTTGTAAATCGTCGAAAAAGTGCAGGAATTTGATCAGTAAATTGATAGTGTTGCAGGTCGCATGCCGCTGCCCTAAATTTGAGATGCCTTCGATTCTTTCGGACAACAGCATCAAATTGCATGACAACGTCGTCGATTGTGGGTCGTTTGACTGGGTCATTTTGGACCATAGAGTCGACGAGCGGTTTCAAAAAAGAAAATCGTTTACAAAGACTGGAATTCCTACGCTGTGTTTTTATCAGTTATTTCGCCCTTTGTTGAAAAACAATAACAAAAATAACATTACCTCTGTAAAGTTTTCGCGGATGAGGTTACCAATGTAGTATATATCGGTTGAGAAAGGATTAGCACGTTTGTACTTTGGTGCGTGTTCAGGTGCTGACTTGTCACCTCCCCTCAATATTCTTTCTAATGGGGGGACTGTCCTTTTGCTACTGTACATATGAGAAAGGCCAAAATCAATCAAATAGTATTTTGGCCAAAATTGCATTCGAAACCCAACACGCTTAGCTGCGCGAAATGGGTCTTCTCTTGCCTGCCAAGGATCTAGGGTATTCCAGCCTTTAGGATACATTCGAGAGCCATCCATCATGATGTTCATCTCTGTACAGTCGCTTGTTTGCGTAAGAAAACCTGAGAATGTTTGCGAAGTATTTTACATACCCATGTGCAACAAGATGTTCATGCATGAATTGGATACCCTGGTTTTTTTTGAAGTCAGAAATATACAAGGGTCCCTAGATATAGCATACTTCGAGTAATTGTTGTATGAATGCAATGACTTCCCCCACGGTGTCGAATTGTGGGTTCTCAAATGGCCTCAAAACCGGCATTACGATCAAGTCCATTTCACTGTCTGGTACTGGAAAGACATCGTAGATAGGGATACAGTGGTTGCGAGGATCTGAAGCAATGGATTTGTCGGAGAAATACATGCCAATCTTGACTTCTTGTGGATGGATTATTCGTGATACTGCCTTGAGCATCACAGGTTTATTGTCAGATATCCGCACAGCGTCCATTATTGATCCCTATAAGAATAAATAAGACTGTAATCCAGATCGTGTAGAGAGGCTTCCACTCAACGTATAAAGAGACCTCTTCCGCGTTGAACATGGCCTCTGTCCATGGTAGAGGCTGGGGTGGGGGTCGGTTTGGCTGATACCGTGCCCGTAACCTGAAGCCCACATTTTCTAACCATCTTGCATTGTCGACCCAGAATTGCTCAGCTTCATTGATTGCATAGGGAGCTACTAGACTCTCTGCAGACTTGGAAGAATCAGCGGAAAAGCAGCAAGTCATGTACACGAGTAATGGGGGTTGCGAAGAAGGAGTTACGTTTAACGTACTAGGACCTACAAATTCTGTCGACGGGCCGGAAAATACCGACTGCATAATGGAGGACGCGTTCCGTTGTTTTTCTCAGTTGTACTTGTAAAACGAATGAGTGCGATCTGCTGGGGTCATAGACGAGGTTCTTTGGCTGAAGGTTTCCAGATCTCGAGGTTTGAATTCTGTACCCTCTGTGATCTTTGCAAATGGGATTTCTCGTCTGATCTTATTATTGTTGAATACGTGTCGGTAAGTCTGAACATGGCCGTTCACAAATTAAATAAGCTAGGCCTTTGTATGTGGTCAGTTCATGTATGTTGCCAGAACTGAGAATTCCACGGAATGAAAAAACCAAGAAAAACGCTTTAGGCCCGTTAGTGCATTTCAGTTTATTACCACCACCAAACCGGACTCAGAGTATTACCGGGTTTCCTCTCACCACCTGCAATTAATGGGCAGTATATCAGCGTCACAGGGAGCCTGTTCCTCCCAATAATGTACTTCCCCACTTCCACAGCAAGGCGACTTTCGATAGTTCCGGCTCTCCCTAATATTCCCCCGGAAAATGTCCTCACAATATGCCCAAGTCCACGTAAATCACTGTTTTGTACACTTACAAGAAACGGTATCTCAATCTGGCGCGTTCGAGTACGTCCAACATATCATATTGCGTAAAACCTCAATATCGACGATGTGTTAGCCTTCAGCAAATCTTGCATTTCTTTCGCGTACTCCGATATCTATCATCGACCATGGAGAGAATATAGAGGCACATTGGTCCCCAGATGGATCTCGTATTGTTATCAAGGTCTGAACATGACGGTTTTTCTATTCGAAGCACCGATCTGACATTACCACAGACTTCCGACTCGTATCTTGTACTTGTGACTGTCATATTTCATCCAGATGAAACCATCTATCAAGCTCCTCCTCTCTCAACAAACGCTCAGAGAAATTTCTTGGCTGGTCCCGGAGAAGCGTTCCCTTTGAGTAGTGTGAGCTTACAATTTGAAGGGGTCATTCGAGTGGAAGGAACCCTAATTAGGTGTGTGAAGCGTCTTTCAATAAGCACATTGTCTGAAATTTCATTAGCGTATCTCCTCGGAAGCAGTCTGTCATGTTTTCCACGCAGAATCCACCAGCGATACAGCGAATACCTTGGCCAGCATCAGAAGAAGTCGTGGGGGAACGAGGATCTGACGAAGAGGAGTATGGAACGAGGCGGAGGAAACTTGACAATTATGACCAATGGATAATCAATGATGGCGATTTCGGGTGGTTAGTTGAGCCTGAAGGTCTGCCTCGATATTCCACCGTCTCGATATCAACTAAATTTTCTCGTAGTCACAATCTCACAAATTCTACACGATCGAAATACCGGTGTAGAAAGCTGGATTGCATCTGACGGAAGGGCGTATATTGTATACCTCATTCGGAATGACGAACCTTCGTCAGAAGAACTACCTAGTGATTCCAAGAATGCTTCAAACATCAACCTGTCCGAAAGCCACCAACTTCAAACGCAAAAGCTTGACCATCCCCGTTTTGCTGATGGGTCACGGAATGTATGGATGGGTACGTGTATACACGACTTCGAGACCCCTCGTTGGGTGCAGAAACAAAGGCGTGTTGAACCGGAAGAACACGGCTCGGTCTACTTTGAACCCAGGCGTGCGGTTCGACTAGTCATCAATGCGAAGTTCTCGTTGATTGCGGTTGGCATGCTCGGGTGAGTATGTGTCCTTTTTCTCGTGCGGATCACCGGTAGTCATTGTTCATCAGAGGCGGTATTCAGTATACCACTTTCCCTGCTGACGAAGGTGCTGTACCGACTTCACAACAGATCGAGATACACAATCCGTTCAATCGACGGACTGGACGTGTATGCTCAATGGAATGGAGCTCGGATGGATATGTCTTGGCTGTTGGCTGGCAGCATGGCTGGGGATTGTTCAGCGTTGGTGGCAGATGTTTGGTATCTGGTTTTGGTGTCGAGGATGTGGACGAACAAAAGTGCGTCCCATTCTTAAGAAGTGCTGAATTTTGTTAAATTCACGGCTATCTGCAAACAGATTCCAAGATACTTTCATGAATGGCGTAGTCGATCTTGTAAGTGCAGTTCCTGCTATCTGTGCATGACCACAGCTCAAGCAGATTAGTTTTGGGCACCCGGAAATTTCGAGTTGATTGTGCTCGCTCAACCTTCTTTGAAATGTATGTGACCTGGAACCTCGATGCAGTCAACCAGTCACTTACTCTCGGAATAGCTATCGATGAACAACTATTCGTAATCCCCTTCGCGAAAAGCGCTACAACTGGCCAGCATTCTCCTGTATGTTCTTCCTTCGATAATTCTAGTCTTGTATGTCAATGTATTGTATTGGTAGGACAACACGCGGTACGCCTTCTTACAACTCGAAGATCGTGCTCTGGTATATCGCGGTGCAGACCAACCCGATATCAGCATCATTAATCCGGAATCAGACGTCTGGCAGCATATCAAGGCAAACTTCTCTTGATCACGGATTTGAAGTCGCTCTAATGGCTCCACTTTCTTAGGTCCCTCAAAGCTACCTCGCGGCGAACTGGCCTATACGATATTCCTCTCTAAGCTCGGATGGGCGCTTAATTGCCATCGCCGGTCGGCGGGGCCTTGTCCATTACAGTGCTAGCTCAGGTAGATGGAAGTTATTCACCGATCCAGTGCAAGAACAAGCGTTTTCGGTTCAGGGAGGGTTACTTTGGTTTCATCATGTTGGTTGCAGCGGTGGAAGTATCCAAAACGCATCAGGTATAGTAACTCTAGGTCATTGTCGCTGTGACTTTTTGAACCTATTATCGCCTACCCAGATAAGACTTTATTCCCGAGACCTAGAGCTAAGCAACCAAAATGTTCTGCATCGCGAGGTCATGCCTTCTCCGGTTATCATACTGTCCTTAGTGGACAACTCTCTCCTCGTGTACTGTGCCGACAACACCCTCTTCCATTTCTTGATTATCCCGACTGCCGATACCATTAAGCTTCACCTTTGTGGAAGTATCACCTTTAATGGAGTCATAGCAACTCCTAGCGCAGTAAGAATGCTAAGTTGGATGATACCAAGTGCTCAAAAACGTATGTCTTAAATTCATTCTTTTACTAGGAAGAAGCTTGCCTAAACCTCCATTCCTTTAGAACTCGGAGATCCTGTCAACGATCTTGCTGTTGCGACTGTGCTCATGGTTGTTGGAGGCCAGCTTGTCCTCCTGCGACCTAGAAAGGTTCATATCTAAATAAGTTCAATGCTTCTTTGGCAACGCTAACAAATTTCTACAGTCCGCAAAACAAGAAGTCAAGTATGACATGCAAATATTTGCGGAGCGTATTGAATTCTGTTGGATACATCTTCGAGGTATCGCCGCCCTGGAAAACTCGCTGTGGGCTTTTGACGGCAGAGGAATTCGCGTGTGGCTCAACGCTTTGGCGATCGAGGCTCCTGCAACACAAGATCAGAATGAAAATCCAGAGAGTGTCAAGGAGAGTGTCAACATCCCACTTGAATTCTATCCGTTATGTATGTCGTTGTTCACTATTTGGTTTCTGCCTCTGAGGCGTTGCTGTAGCGGTCCTGATGGATAAAGGAATTATCATTGGCGCTGAACACGAAGTCGCCGCTCGGTCAAACCTTCCCTTTGTTATGTTTCGACATGCGACGAGTGTGAGTCCTTGGCGAAGTCTTCTTGTCAGCTTCTCATACAGTTTGTTGCAGTCACATCTGTTTCTACACCACATCCTTCGATCACATCTAGAAGCCTCTCAAGTCAAAGACGCGGTTGTCTTTGCCTCTCATTACCAAGATCTCGTGTACTTTGCACATGCACTCGAGATATTGCTGCACGATGTCGTTGAACATGAGACAGACTTAGAGTTAGATAGCGGGTCTGATAGTCAAGAGGTCCTCCCAAAAGTCGTCGAATTCCTGGACTATTTCGACGCCGCGTTGGATGTTGTAGTTGGATGTGCACGCAAGACTGAAATGACTCGCTGGCGGCGGCTATTCGATGTTGTGGGGAATCCCAAAACACTTTTCGAGGTCCGTGTTCTGTTTGTTTCCTCTAGGCTGCACAGATCAATTAATGGTATTCTTCAGACCTGCCTGCAATCTCATAGATTGAAGACCGCAGGTTCGTATCTACTGGTCTTGCATAATTTAGAACAGCTAGATGAGAAGAATGTGGATGCGATCCGGCTCCTGAAGAGTGCCATGGAGGAGAAAGATTGGCAACTATGTCGAGAGCTACTACGTTTCTTGCGGTCCATCGATGATTCCGGTGTGGCTCTTCGAGACGCACTAGCGCAAACCGGTCTGGCATAATCTTGCTTATGGATTAGGAGCTAAGTATCTATGTGTTGTATCGTTTTAAAGAATACAAGCTTTAGCACCCGTGCCTTCGCCACGGTGGCCCGCTTTGCTCGCACCGTGTGCTACAGCAGGGTTCACAGCTTGTTGGGGCAAACCCCCTTAGTTGGCGCCTTGTGCCTCCATACCTTCATACTCATGATGCAGTATTCTGAGCTGTTTATTGAAAGAACATACCTTTCCTATCTAGAGGGTACACCATATTCGTAGTAAGGCAATGTCTATCTTCAAAATTAGAGGCGGTGCAATATTTTGATACATTTCCACCTCTTACTTGTTAACTTGTAACTATTGATATGTAGTGAGATTGAAGGGATGCAACAGTAAGCATTACGTCGTAAAACTCCGTGCTTGAAATAATCACAAAAATGAGTTGCGCGCGGTGGCCCACAATCGCATGTAACGAAGTGAATGATTCAAATTTACAATGTTCGGCACATTTGTACAAAACCAAAGAAAAATAGAATAATTTGGCTATAATGAGATAGACAAAGATCACGGTCGAAACCTAGGGACGCAAAGAGCTGAAGGATATCATATCTGGTATCTTGGCATGGAAGCAGTGAGGCTTATCTATAGCAGTACGTAGAGGTAGAGGGAGGGAAAAAGTAAGAAAAAAAAGCTTGCTTAATGTCTCCAGAATGGATAGTCAAAAAACAATGTGTGAGCTGTGTGGTTTCATTGTGGTAGAACCCGGGTAGAACAAGGTAGAACAAAGATGACCGTAGAAACGGACCAGTGTCGATATTCAGAGAGCGTCTTAAATCAATCTGGATGGTGACACCGCTTTGCTTCAACGGTGATTTTAAGACATGTGTTAAATAATATAACCGGAATGCAAAGACTGCTACATTGAGGTAGGACAAGGTAACAAAAAAGAGAATTGATGGGGCAGTGGTATAACGATCGCACATAAACGACCCACAGAAGCCCTTGTATCCAAAGACAACGGGTTTGATGTGTGTGCATTGACAGTACTAGTGAATGACTTGGAGTATGGTTCCGAAAGCTCGACTCAGTTCATTCACCAAACTCATTGACATATGCGTAGGCTACCGCATATAAAGGTGTTGAAAATCTACTCACAGTATGTTGTAAACACATTGTTCTTTCCCCATGCCAAGAAACTTAGTCGCTGTAGACCTAACGTCAACCAAACAGTTCTGGCTACATACATGAACTGACCACATACGAAGGCCTGGCTTATTTAATTTGTGAACGGCCATGTTCAGACTTGCCGACACATACATATTCAACAATAATAAGAACAGACGAGAAATCCGATTTAGAGCAAAGATCACAGAGGGTACAGACCTCGAGATCTGGAAACTTTCAGCCAAAGAACCTCGTCTGTGACCCCAGCAGATCGCACTCATTCGTTTCACAAGAACAACTGAGAAAAACAAGGGAACGCGTCCTCCATTATGCAGCAGTCGGTATTCTCCGGCCCGTTGACAGAATTTGTAGGGCCTACGTTAAACGCAACTCTTTCTTCGCAACCTTCATTATTCGTGTACATGACTTGCTGCTTTTCCGCTGAATCTTCCAAGTCTGCAGAGAGTCTAGTAGCTCCCTATGCGATCAATCAGGCTGAACAATTCTGGGTGGACAATGCAAGATGGTTAGAAAACGTGGGCTATAGGTTACGGGCACGATATCAGCCAAACCGACCCCCACCCCAGCCTCTACCCTGGACGGAGGCTATGTTCAATGCGGAAGAGGTCTCCTTATACGTTGAGCGGAATAACTTCTATATGATCTGGATTACAGTCTTATTTATTCTATTCTTACAGGGATCAATAATGGACGCTGTGCGGATATCTGACAATAAACCTGTTTTGCTCAAGGCAGTATCACGAATAATCCATCCACAGGAAGTTAAGATTGGCATGTATTTCTCCAGCAAATCTATGGCTTCAGATCCTCGCAACCACTGTATCCCTATCTACGACGTCTTTCCGGTACCAGACAGTGAAATGGACTTGATTGTTATGCCGGTTTTGAGGCCATTTGATAACCCACAATTCGACACCGTGGGGGAAGTCATTGCATTCATACAACAATTATTCGAAGTATGCTATATCTAGGAAACCTTGTATATTTCTGACTGAAATAATGACCAGGGTATCCAATTCATGCATGAACATCTTGTTGCCCATGGGTATGTTGCACATGTTGTGAGTATTCTCAGATTTTCTTACGACCAACCAGCGACTGCACAGAGATGAACATCATGATGGACGGCTCTCAAATGTATCCTCAAGGCTGGAATACCCTAGATCCTTGGCAGGCAAGAAATGACCCATTTCGCGCAGCTAAGCGTGTTGGGTTCCGAATGCAATTTTGGCCGAAATACTATCTGATTGATTTTGGCCTTTCTCATATGTACAGTAGCAAAAGCACAGTCCCCCCATTGGAAAGAATATTGAGGGGAGGTGACAAGTCGGCACCTGAACATGCACCAAAGTACAAAAGTGCTAATCCTTTCTCGACTGATATATACTATATCGGTAATCTCATCCGGGTAAAATTTACAGAGGTACTGTTACTGTTTTACAAGAGGTCAACATAACTGATAAAAACACCGTTAGCGCAAAGATTCCAGTCTTTGTAAACGATTTTCTTTTTTGAAACCGCTTGTTGACTCCATGGTCCAAGATGATCCGGTCAAACGACCCACAATTGACGATGTCGTTATACAATTCGATGCTGTTGTCCGAAAGCATCGAAGAACTCTTAATGTTAGGGCAGCGGCATGCAACCTGCATCAGTTCGAATTTACTGATCAACTTTCTGCACTTATTCGACGATTTACAAAGTATCGTCTTTTGACTCGCTCATTGCCTACCCTGCCCCAACCTCAGAGGCGTTTACCCCCTGAACTACACTGGATGTATTCAGGGTCTCCTACAAAGTACCCAGATGGTCAGGAGCGTCCCATATTTTTGTATGTCCATGACCTGGATGATGATACCTAAGTATCGTGAGGTGGTAAATGTTTTATTGCATCGGTCATCGTATATTCTGACTTCAATTTCTTTTGTAGGGATCTTTGTGCGCATTACATTATGATTGCTATTGCAATGTCTACCGTGACTGTTTCTTCGAATGGATTGGTCAAAAATAACAGGCGGCAGCTGCGCGGTGTGAATGCGGTGGAACAAAGATGGCCACGGGAATGAAAATGACTGTAACATTCAGAATGAATATGATCAATTGACTGAATTGGAAGGTGACCACACTTTGCATTGACGGTACTTCTAATACTTGCGAGACCCTCGATATTCCTGGAACGACTTCACTTAGGTAGGACAAGATAATAAAGAAGAGCATTGACAGCTTATTGGCAGTTATCACACACGATCGCCCCACAAAAGCCCTTGTATTCGAAGACAATGTGTTGGACGTGTGCATGCGTGTCGATGACTTCGGAAAGTTCCATTTCTAGTCCGCCCACAAAACTTAGAAGGTGAAAAACTACTTTCGATACATTGGAAAATATAGTCGCTATCAGGTCGGCATAGGCATTATGTCAAGCAAGTTGATTTCAAGAATTGACGGCGGCAGTATAGCTATTTGCATATAATCATCCTGCAAACACCTTTGTATTTGAAGACAACGTGGATTGATGTGTGCATGTATGCAAGGTGAATGACTTCCAAAAGCTTCATTTAGTTCACCCACAAAGCTTATTGACATATACTTAGTCTACCACATATAAAGGAGCGGAAATTTTACTTGCAGTGTGTTGTGAGACCATCGTTCTTTCCCATGACAGAAAATATAGTCGCAGTAGACATTACGCCAATCAAACATGATGAATTCAAGAAGCCGCCTCCAACACCGATGTTTCGATTTTCTACAACGAAACAACTTCACCGAAACTTGGAGTACATTGCAAATGCTAAAATCATTGTAGATGATAATGCTACTCTCGGATCCTTGAAACCACAAGAACAAGTGGAACTTGATCAGTTGTACAACCGCAGGTCAATTAATGCCTTCATTTATTACATCGATATCGATTCTAAAGTTTTCCTATGTGTCAGCCTTGCTGACAATCAGCACTTACTTTCTGCATTGGATCCGAAGGAGAGGATACAAGATAACCTCAACCTCAAGACAAGATACAGAGTCAGAAGAGCAACTGGGTCTGCCGGTATATTTGGTAAAGCTGTTTGGGTGAGGAGAGATATATCATCATCGAAAATGACTTATCTTTCTTTTTGATAGACAACCTCAGAGCGAATCAAGCAGGAGGAAGAGGCTAGGAGGCATGAATTATTCCTGAGAACAGAGGTTTCAGAATCAATTGTGTAAGTAATAAATAATGTAGATTGTGATTATTGATGCTGACAAGTTTTCTTTCCCCAAGCTCTCAGAATGATTATCTTCATCAATTGCATCAGAACACATCCAATTTGGCTGACACTGGTAACACACAAAATGTGAATGCAACTTGAACTGACTAATGATGCCACTTAATGATAGATGTTTGGCACTCTTCTGGATCATATATACCCCAAACCCCTCAACAAAGGCTATTTGTTGCCAATCCAAACTCTAGAAACACTTCCACTGTGGCAAGTTTCCCAGGTACTCAATTGGACTGTATTCTATCACTGTCAAACTGATCAAATATGTGTAGATGTTCAGCAGTCTATTGCATTGCATATACCTCCAGGCCTGCAACAGGAGCTATTTATTGCCAACCCAAACTCTAGAAACACTTCTGTAGAAGGGAGTCTTCCAGGTACTGAGTGTGACTCTGATATCCTAATTTCAAGTTGACTAAATATGCTACTTGATAGATGTTCAAAACTCCTCTGGGTTGTATATATCTTCAGGCCCTCAACAAACACTATATTTCATAAGCCCAAACTCTAGAAACACTTCCACTGAAGGGCTTCCACCAAGTACTCAAATGGGCTCTAACTTGTCACTATCCCGACAAACTGTTATGACAGGGAGCTCTGGGCCGGGATGCTATCCTAGGTCAGGGTCAGTCAATACAGCTTCTTTAGAGGATGATGGAACACACTTCAGCATAGGGTGAATTAGCTTCTCATAGAACTCTTCTGGTATTTATATTGATTTGCTGTTACTTTGTTAGCTCAAGGGCTTCGGGCTCTTCTGAGATATATCAACTGGATCCATCTACAGGACATTATTCTGGTGAACCTAGCAGTCCTCGGTATCCTGCTATGTATAATTCAGGACAAGAATATTATCGCAACCAAACACAAATGGTGAGTTCTGTGTATTTCATTGTTTATTGAATCTCTGGCTCATGACTTGAATATGGTCTGATTTCCAAACCTTTCCACCACAGGCTACACCTTATTCCTCCTACCCTCCCCCACAAGCCTCTATTAGCACAGACCGGCATGGAAGGTATCATCACAGTTCAGAAGATCCAGGACACCATGATATACGACATAATGATGCTCACAAACCTCGTGGTTACAGGAGTGCACATCCTGAAGCAAGAACTCAGAGACACTGAACAATATTAAAGGAAATTAACCACAGGTCTCTTTGGATTGGTGTGCAGGTGTCATGCCCTGACTCCTTTTACCTATTGTCGAACCCTCCTGAACATCTCCTCGGGACCTCCTACTCTTACCAAAGCTCCACCCCTATGTACCCCTCCTTCACTTTCCCCTACTCTTGGCTCTCACCATAGCTTCCACCCCCAAACTAGAGCTGCAGGACCTCCCCAAATGTCATGTGCCACCTCTTATCCCCATTAGTCATTAATCTCGATTACTACTTTATGCTCACTTGATCCCCCGATGTTTCCTTGTTAACTTCCCTGTACCTATTTAAACAGCTCCGTAACAACCAAAAGCCCAGCTTGGTATATTTTGAACACACACCCTTTACATAGGTCCAGTCCCTGTACCTTTGTACCTGCTGACCATACAGATTTTCCTTTACTCTCTGTTTCTGTCATGAAGTATGTAGCCCCTATCATTCTCCTTTTCTCACCGTTTCAATGCCCTTACTTGTACAATTATATCACTATCAAATCCCATCGATTACTGATCCACCTGTTACCCTTCTCCTTCTGCTGGCTTCCGCCACCTTCTTTGTCCCTAAACTGTACAGTATTACATCATCATTTCTCGCAGATCAGATTATGTATAAATAGCCAAACCCCCACAGCCTGGTCCCTTATCTTGACCTCTCTGTCATTATCTTGGAACCAGATATGTGTTTACTTATTATTACCTATGACTACAATACTCAATATATCTCTGTCATTATCTTGGGACCAGTCCGCCTCTGCTCCGCTTAGTTGCTCCACCTTATCACTCTGCTTAGTTGCTCTGCCCTCCTGCTCTGCTTAGTCACTCTGCCGCTGCCGCTTTGTGACAGTTTCTCTATCTCAGTTTCTCTACCTCTATCTCTTGTCTCAACAATCATCTACATGATCCAATATACACTTTTACTTCATGTCTGAGCAATCCGAGTGAGTCTTCAACTGCCCTCAATCAATATTCAAGCTCCCCAAATGTCTGTCATTTTGGTGAGTCAACCTTCCCCAAGCCTCCTCAAGCTCCCTACTTGCTCCACAAGTTCTGGGACCTTGATCATGGTAATGTCAAAGCTTCCCATCATGTCCACCCACGTAATGCTTCTCCATTACCAGATTGACAGTCAAAGTCAATACTGAATCAGTCTAATAAGTTGAAGGGACCCTATACCCATACTACCACCAGTTGGTTAGTTTACCCATCCCCGATACTACCTTTGGATAGCAGTCTACCTGTTTGTCAAGCAGGATTATACCAGACTCGGACTACATCCGAAGGATGACCATTCACGTATGACATACCAAGGGTATTCTTATTGGACCTTACACTGGCAGAAGTTTGGAAGAACTTACTCAAGTGACCATGAGCTGAGGATTGACTCAAAATGACTTTCTAGAACTCAGGAATTATCAAAATACTCCTTCTAGAATGAGATCATGCATTAATCTAAAAGACTGCGATTTAGTCTAATAGACCAATCAGGTTGCATGGTTGAGGAAAATGACTAGAAGAATGATCGAAGTACTGCGAGGCTCCGAAGACATATCAAATGAATGTCAAAGAGTCCCGACGTAGAAAATATTGAAGAACACAATTAAAATGAATACTATGCATAACTCCCTTGATAGAGTATAGGCACAATGGGTGTCTATTGGAAGAGAGAAGCAATTAGTTTAAATCCAGATGAGTCAGATTGATAGGATTAGAATCGAGGAGAGCTGATTTGCCTCTGGACAAGGTGACAAACAATCAAAGTAAGTATTGAACAGCAATAACAGCTGAACACCATTTGGATCAATCTCCAAAACAATTATTGCTGTTTGCGAAATAGTTTGGACTCGTGCGAATTCAAACACAAAACACTTTTTCGGTGCTGGATTCATAAGAGCTCTAGCGTGCTCAGTTCTTCACCGTTTGTCTCTATTTTTACCGCGATTTCATGCCAAGATCTGTACCTAGGGCCCCATGTAGTTGAATAGACATATATCTCCTTTTTTGTTGTCATTGCCCACTGGGGCTCTTCGAGCTCATTTGAATTTTGGTGGCCATATTTTTAACCTCGTCACTATAAGAAGTATGTAGATATATTTATTCTTTTATGGTATAAAGAGGGTATACTGATCACGCATGACATGTTACCGAGAGCCGCAAAATGCAATTACTGTTTGCTTCCAACATTCACCATCTTGCCCATGACTCGTGGCCACCCTTTCTCTGATGATCTTCGACAAGTTCTTATCTATATGGGCACACGTTGCACCTTCTCGGAAGTAATGGCTCAAACTGGTGTCCCTAGAAGCACGCTTCGAGCCCTCTTTGCAGAGTACAAGAAGAATGGGCATGTTTTGTGCACAAAGGAGTCTGCATATGAGATGCGAGGACGAAAGAGAAAGCTCACTATAGCCAATGTTGGGGTATGTCACTTTGCTTCACTACATATTTACAGGTTCTGATATTGGCCAAGTTCCTTACAGGAAACATTTGGCAGAGAAATGATCTCTATCTTGATGAACTCCAAGACCTTGTTTCTAGTCGTCTTGGAATAAGTGTTGATGATTTAACTATTTGGAGAACACTTCATAGACAAGGCTTTACTATGAAGAAGGTGTGTGCTTCCAATACATCTTGTAATTCGTACTAACAGGCGTAGTTGAGTCAGGCTGCCCTTGAGCGCAATGAAGACCGGTGAGCACAGTTCCGCCTTGAATTTGGGCGACACTGCAATCCCCGAAACACTGTATTTGTTGATGAAAGCTGTTAAGATTGTGCACACCGTGTAACTGTGCCAGAGGTCAACAGAGTGTCTAAGTGCGGAAGACGAGTGGGACAGTAGTGAAGTTATTAACAACACCGCCGTTACGCTGTTAGTCCCCGGAGATCGAGAACAGAGGAGAGGAGGACTAGAAGCAGCCAAGTCGGAGCAGCGGTATCGCCGACAACGGGGAGCGAACCAAAGAACTTTATAAGTCCTAATGTTAGAGCAAGAAGTACCTCGAGGCAACGAGCCTGAAGACTAGAGAGTGGCCAGAGTACAAAGGGAGACTCAAGTTGAGGACATTAAGAGAGTGATCTAAGATGTTAATTAAACTGAGGAACTACAGTAGCGTACAGGCAGTATTTATATCTACGGATCGGTGTATTGGGGCGGAGTGCCAGACTAACTACTAGGGTGTCAAGTCCATGCCTCGCCACTCGGTAATGAGCTTGCCTCGTTTTTGTGTGAAATAGAAAGGAGGGAATCAAATGGGAACTCCAACCAACCAATCTAATACACAATATGCGAGTTCACTGCTATCAAATTTATTTAATAGCAAGGGGTAGCATTGTCAAAGGTTCCGCAAAGCTTTGAGAGCTAGGTAAGAAGCCTTGATCAATCAATTTGAATTGTTCTGAGGGTTCGATATATTCCTTTGATTAAGGTAGATTTAGCATGGTTTGTGCTTTGATTGTATTGATAGGGGTATATCAAGAATTGGGGGTTTGAATCAAAGTAAATTAAAACCGAAACACACAGACCCCTACAGAGGGCTAGAACTATGTGCTGGCACAACAACACAGCGTGATTTGCCCTTAAGACCAACGACTGATCCTAAGCTTGAAAAATACCCAACAACTGGATATAACTTCTCGCAGTCACAAGGAGCAGAACACAATGTTCCTATACTCACAAGTGCCGGGCCCGAATGGCTGCTAGCGAAGAGGTTTCAGTCTGGCGGGAGTGTGTCTTTCCTTTTTACGGATTAGCACTGCAACATCGTCCCAAAATCACTTGTATTCCAGATACATTGGATTGCTATTTATACATACAGAATATCGGGCCACACAGTACAATTAATTTAATACAATAAACGTTTGGAACCGCAAGGAAACTTCTACAATCAGTCAGATACCATTTAATTTGAATCTTCATGTTCTTATTTGGTCCATAATGGTTCCAAGATTCTAGTATACCTCCAAACATAGGTAGGTATTTTGATGTTCATTTAATTTAATTGTCTTTGGAGAATGACTCGAATGGTGTTCAGCTGTCACTGCTGTTCACCACTTACTTTGATCGTTTGTCACCTCGTCCAGAGGCAAATCAGCTCTCCTCGATTCTAATCCTATCAATCTGATTCATCTGGATTAAACTAATTGCTTCTCTCTTTCAATAGACACCCATTGTGCCTATACTATATCAAGGGAGTTACGCATAGTATTCATTTAATTACATTCTTCAATATTTTCTATGTCAGGACTCTTTGACATTCATTTGATATGTCTTCGGAGCCTTGCAGTACTTCGATCATTCTTCTAGTCATTTTCTTCAACCATGCAACTTGATTGGTCTATTAGACTGAATCGCAGTCATTTAGATTAATGCATGATCTCGTTCTAGAAGGAGTATTTGACAATTCCTGAGTTCTAGAAAGTCATTTTGAGTCAATCCTCGGCTCATGGTCACTTGAGTAAGTTCTTCCAAACTCCTGCCAGTGTAAGGTCCAATAAGAATACCTTTGGTATGTCATATGTGAATGGTCATCCTTCGGATGCAGTCCGAGTCTGGTATAATCCCGCTTGACAAACAGGTAGACTTTTATCCAAAGGTAGTATCCGGGATGGGTAAACTAACCAACTTGTGGTAGTATGGGTATATGGTCCCTTCAACTTATTAGACTGATTCAGTATTGACTTTGACTGTCAATCTGGGTCTCAATTACAGTCCTCTTGATACAAATCTATACGTGAAAATGTCACAATTCACAGCATAGACGTCTAGCCAAAATTTAGGCGTGTCATCCCCCCCAAACTAAAGAATTTGACCGTCCTCGGTCATTCGTAGTTTTTGTACCAGGGAAGGATACCTAATCTGTTATTAGATTGATTTGACAAGACTGTATCTCCTTTTAATGTAAATCACTGGGTTTGGATCTCTACTTCTCTGTGCTTTCCAATCAATTTGGATGCCCTCAAATGGGTTTCTAGTGCTCATGTTATCAATTTATTCACACGCCTGCTACCAATCGTAACAGTTTAGCGCTCAATTTGAATTGAATACTTTTTCGGTATTCATATCACATTTCAAAAATTTAATTCACAATCTTTTTATCATCCGGAGAGCTGCTCTGACATACACACTGATTCAGTGTGTACGGTTATTTGGTTCGGGGCACGGGTTCAACAAAATTTTCATTGAAGTCCATTTCCTTCCCTTTTACTTTCTTCTTTCATCTCTTTTAATTTGAAATGGCCTCCTCTTCGAGTCTACCTCGAACTGGAGCTTCATCCCCTCTATTACCCACTTCGCTATCAGAGGCTCAGGAGCTCTTAGCTGGTATCAAATCAAAATCTACGCTCCCTTCGTTTTCTGAGAGCCCCGAATATCAAAAGCTTTTGGATGGGAAATATGTCCCACCCATCCTTAGTTCCCAGAGTTCTCCAGATTACGATGGATCGAGTCCTCTTCCAACATTTCTATATCCCCGCGCTCTGGTTCCTTTCGCGTTTCCCAAGGATTCACAATTTCCTCTGTCTGTGGCCTCTGGCCTAGATTTGTTTTGTTCTGCTCATATGACCATCCGGTCATTACAGGCATTGATGGAGGCATTGGTCGATTCATATGAATTATATGAGGCTATCGAGGAAGCGGCGCCATTCCTGGTGCGTTTCCCGCTCCCTTTTTCTCTCGTTCTTATTAATTAATCTCTAATTTAGAACTATATCCACAATTTTTGGATTGGTCGTGCCAACTGTCCTTTGTTCGCAGAACTCGTCCTTTTGACTGTTGATTTCTTAGCTCAAGGTCTTCCCGCTTTCCTCCAGGAAAATTTAGAGCATCAATGGGGAATTCCCCCTGATCATTGGTCTTCTCTTTTGGTTTGTCTCTTTGCCTCCTGTTAGTTTTTTCAATTCTTTTAACGGATTTGTAGGATTCTCAGGATTTTGAACACTTTCCCGCTATTCCAATTCCCTTTTGCTTACGATTTCGTGAGGGAAGTGCAATGATGTGTCTAGTCACATCCAAGGATTTAGATCCTTTCATATCAATTCGTTCGTCAACAAGAGGTCCTCGTCCTCTCAATCTTTCTCCTGTGGAGGGTACCCCTTCTCCTTCGGGAGACCTGCAATCAGTGGGCCCTCCTAAGCAGAATAAACACAAACGTGAATTGGCCAGCCTTATGGCTGATGCCTCATCAACTCGTTCGTATCCTCTTTTATCAATTTAATTCCTTTTAATTCATTACTTCTTTGTTTTACAGTAGATCGTCGCTCAGCTGATAAGATTCCTCGTAAGGAAGATGTGTCTGATGCTCCCAGGGCTTCTTCTTCAAAGAGGAAGGTGGAGAAGCCTCTTCCTAAACCCAAAGCAACAGCTCGGTCCAAAACCACTGTTAAAGTGGTAGAGGAATCCCGGGTTTCTCCTGAGTCAGAGGAATTGGTGACGCCTTCTTATTCAATCAAACGTGTTTGTCTCCCCCCTCGCCTTCGTCAGGCCGCTGACACGCCTAAATTTTGGCTAGACGCCTATGCTGTGAATTGTGACATTTTCACGTATAGATTTGTATCAAGAGGACTGTAATTGAGACCCAGATTGACAGTCAAAGTCAATACTGAATCAGTCTAATAAGTTGAAGGGACCATATACCCATACTACCACAAGTTGGTTAGTTCACCCATCCCCGATACTACCTTCGGATGACAGTCTACCTGTTTGTCAAGCAGGATTATACCAGACTCGGACTACATCCGAAGGATGACCATTCACGTATGACATACCAAGGGTATTCTTATTGGATTTTACACTGGCAGGAGTTTGGAAGAACTTACTCAAGTGACCATGAACCGAGGATTGACTCGAAATGACTTTCTAGAACTCAGGAATTATCAAATACTCCTTCTAGAACGAGATCATGCATTAACCTAAAAGACTGCGATTTAGTCTAATAGACCAATCAAGTTGCATGGTTGAGGAAAATGACTAGAAGAACGATCGAAAGACTGCGAGGCTCCGAAGACATATTAAATGAATGTCAAAGAGTCCTGACATAGAAAATATTGAAGAATGTAATTAAATGAATACTATGCGTAACTCCCTTGATAGAGTATAGGCACAATGGGTGTCTATTGAAAGAGAGAAGCAATTAGTTTAATCCAGATGAATCAGATTGATAGGATTAGAATCGAGGAGAGCTGATTTGCCTCCGGACGAGGTGACAAACGATCGAAGTAAGTGTTGAACAGCAATGACAGTTAAACACTATTCGAGTCATTCTCTAAAAACAATTAAATTAAATGAATATTGAAGTACCTACCTATGTTTGGAGGTATACTAGAATCTTGGAACCAATATGGACCAAATAAGGACATGTAGATTCAAGTTAAATGGTATCTGACTGAGTGTAGAAGTTTCCTTGCGGTTCCGAACGTTTATTGTATTAAATTAATTGTACTGTGCGACTCTATATTCTGTATGTATAAATAGCAATCCAATGTATCTGGAATACAAGTGATTTTGGGACGACGTTGCAGTGCCAATCCATAAAAAGGAAAGACACACTCCTGCCAGACTGAAACCTCTTCGCTAGCAGCCATTCGGGCCCGGCACTTGTGAGTATAGGAACGTTGTGTTCTGCTCCTTGTGACTGCGAGAAGTCTATCCAGTTGTTGGGTATTCTTCGAACTTAAGATCAGTCATTGGTCTTAAGGGCA